TTTTGCACAAAAACATCCTTGCGCAAAAAGAAATGGCAGAAAGTATGCTAATGATATTGTGATTCATGCTCATGTGTCTGTCATTAGCATATTTTCTGCCGCAAAAACTTGAAGTGCTTAGAGCTCCTTTTTGAGCTCTCTAAAGTCTTTTTGTAGATTCTAAGGGAATGTTTAGCTGAGGATGCAGGAAGTGAAGGGAGAAACATTTGAACACTGGTGGTCCTGGCATACTTCCCCATTCCCATTTCTGGGGGTAGAGAATTAAAAGGCCAAAAAACCCAATCAAAACAAAGTTCTAGAAATGCTATAAAAACATTGAAGTAATCTAAATTCTAACAACATAGTAACTCAGGCAAATTTAATCAGCAGAAGCAGTTATGCTGAATGCTCCATCTCAAGCCAAGGTGGTTGAAAAGGAACAGAGGGCAATTCACTCACACAGCCCTATATGGCCTTGGCAAGATGCACGAGGCTGTGCAGAGTGCATGCAGGGGCTGAAGAGGCACTGCCACTGAAAATCTCTAACAAAGTGCCCAGCATGCACGCACACCTGAAGAGGAGTATCCATTGGAGCACTACTCAAAGAAGTTTTCAGCACCTTGGATAGTAGCAGCAACCCCAGTTCTGTTGTCATCTGCAGATCCCTTGGTGCTGTGTATGATGTCAGCATAGACAAGGTGTTGAAATGGTGTTGCAGAGGTCAATGATGACCAAGTAGTCAGCACTAAATGTCATGGTGCATTTGCACACAACAAATGAGATGTTGCTAACAGAGGTAGTTATATTCAGTGCCGAAGACAGTATTAGAAGTACAGTACTATGCTCCTTCAGGGCTCCAGTGGTACCCATGTCAGGCCTTGAAGTCAGCTCTTCTTGGATTGATCAGCTGAAGGGGATCTGTAGGTTTAGTCTGTAGTATGAAGGAATTGAGGGGTGGCCTGGCATGCTCCATTATGTCCTTGGTACTGCACATGAGGCCACTCAAAGCGCATGCAGGCTCAACAGACTGTGCTGGCCAAAATTCTCCAATCTGGAGCTCACAGGGTGCACACACCCCAAGAATAGAATATATATACACCCAGATAATCACCAATGAGCAAACGCTCACCCACTGAGAGCAGCTCTTCAGTGGAATTTTAAAGTTGAGAGGGACCATACATAGAACACTATCTGCCCATGTTAGCAGTGGTTGTGAAAGCAGGCAGAGATATTTAGTGTCAAATGAATTTTTTTAAATTAATTAATTTAGTTAGTTATGTTGTCTGGATGCCACCTGAAAGTTTCCATGCCCAAAACAGTGGGATGAGAAGGTGCCTCTTTGAACTTGGCCACCTGTCAAATACTTGAATAGCAAAGAGGCTAGTCTTTCACTTAAAGTCTCTCCCTTTTAAGAACACAGAATTTCGGCCTCAAAGAAAACAGCCAGATTTATCTTCCACGGTAATGCCACATAGGATTTTGTTTGGAGCAACACAGAGAAACATTCTGTCTTAAACAGAGGTCCATGTAGAAAGAAAGAAATTGTGGGTCAAAAAGCCTCTATTCTTCCATATCTGGACATGACCCACACTGGCAGCTTGGATGTACAACTCAGTACTTTCCCAGTTTTATAGGGGTACGGCTAGACTGTGGGGCTTTTTTGGAATACCTCTGAAATCCCCCAAAAAACTATGCTGCGTCCAGGGAACCTGGACTATGCCACTTATTTTATTTATTTATTTTTTTGCAGAAGAGCAAACGCGCTCTTTCGGCAGCCCCTATATTTCTCATTCTACGAGGAAGAAGGGGGCTTCTGAAAGAGGGATTTTTCCGACATTTGGCCCAGTCTAGATGGGCCAAATGTTGGAAAAACCTCTTCTGAGAAAAGAATTGGAAAAAGATACGCAAAATGCATAGCACATTTTGCATACCTTTTTCCGACAAAAACTTGTAATCGAGCCATACCCCTAGGTGTGACTGGGAAACCTCATCCCCCTATTTTACACTTTTCCAGGTTGCAAGCAGGAGTGTGAAAGGGATATACAGTTATAGCTTATCAAGTGCAGCTGAAGACCTGAGCCTGAAAGATTTTATCTTCTTTTCTAAAAAATTCTCTGATTATCTAAGGGGGTGGGGTAAAGAGGGAAAGTGAATATTCCTGTCCAGAGGAATCCGAATGTCTATGCCCTGATCTGCTATGCTGCAACCTGTGAAGCTGGGCACAGGAACCATGCCCTGAAGTTCTGCCCTACTGTACTCTGAGGGCAAAGAATGGAAACTGCACTCTCCTAAATAACGATCTCTGCTGAATCAGAAAGCAAGACACTGAGCAGGCAAAGCACACAGCCAGCTGACGGGCCTTTACTAAAGTCTTTTAAACATTACATACAGATGTGTTATTAGTAAGTGATTTTTTGATTTACTGAGGATTTCAGCAACACGTAGGCTACAATAAAAATGTCTTCATATAATGAACCTGCTTAGGGCAACTTTCCTTGGATCATATTTTCAAGTTTTAGTAGTTAGTTACTTCTCTCTAATTTTAGGACTACTTATTTTTAATCGCATGCACTTATTAAAATATTTATAATGCAAATTGTTAAAGCCAAGTTGGTCCCAGAATATGAAAGAGGCATCATGGGTGAGATAGGATCTTTTATTCTCTTGGTGAAAGACAAAAGCATTGAACTTACACAGAGCTCTTCTGGCCACACTATCTCTCTATAATGCAAATGTAATTAATACAATATAAGTTTCCTTGCCTACATCTGATTAGTGTCCAAAAGTCCTGAAACAGACCTCTCAGTCTGTATCTGCAACTTTATAAAGGAAAAAAATATTACTAATAGGTTCTAGATGTTTATCTGACCTGCAGGAGCAATCAAATACTTAGAGGTCTACATTTGATTTATGCATCCCATTAATTTATACTTGCCAAAATGGGGCAGAAAAGAAGAGGGAGTTTTTAATACTGTCATGAAAATACTCACACAGGTTGAAGCAAACACCGAACCACAATTAGGGTTCCTAAAATATTCATTTTTTAAATTATGCCTGTCCTCACAACCTGTGAGCATGAACATCAAAGAGAGTAACTGCACAGATTTCAAGGTATAATTATACTGGCTGTATACTGCAGCTAGCAAGTGTGCAATAAGCAAAGTTCTTCCCTTAGCTGAGTCTGGATCAGGTGCAAAGGGTAAACATCCACTGACTGTATCTATATTCAACTACAGTACTATCCAGAAGCATAAAAGCATATAATGAGAGTTGACAGTTCACTAGGGCAAAAGAAAGATAGGGAAGAAAGTCTGTGTTTAAAAAAAAAATCTCAAATTAACAATAGATATTCTCCAGGAAAGTTTACTGTCTCCACATGAGACAATAACTGATTCCACATGAATCAGTAATTTACTATGTACTTCCCTCTCTGCTCCACAAATGGCAACATAAGCTGCTCTCACACACCACCAGGTTGACTACAGGGCTGGGCTGAGGTTTGTTTGAGGGAATCCTTCTCCCCAGCTATGTAAGCAGCAGAGATCTTATCCTTGCACACACTCTGGAAAGAGTTCAAGGGGAACAGGTTTTTCCATTAGGTTGCATGATTGAGCATGACCATATGCTACTGCAGTGCTTCAGGAAGAGAGAGAAAGCAGGCATTAAGCGGCTCAACTCCAAAAGCATGGCCAAAAGTTTAGCTCAGGTCCAACCAAATTAAGAGATAAAAACGTACAACAACAATGTAACATTTAGGTTTTATTTCAGTGTGAATCCAATACTTTTTCTAAAGATCCTGAAAACTTTGCCTCTGGAAGGCCTATCTATTTCAATTGTAGCTTTGGACACAGAACAAGACTAGCAAATGAGACACAATGCTTGGACAAAGCTTGATAAGTAGGGGTACATCTCCACTAGCTCATTAACTCGAGCTAGGTAGGGTAATGAGGGCTAACGGAGTTGCAAATGAAGCCCGAGATTCGAACTACCTACTCCGTGCTGTGTGTAGCCGCGGGCACGGGGTTTGGACTAAGGGGGATTTAAAAATGGCGGTGCCCAGGAACATGCAAATGAAACCCGGGATATTTAAATCCCAGGCTTCATTTGCAACTCCGCTTGCCCTCATCACCCTACCTACCTCGAACTAACAACCTAATGTAGATGTACCCTAAGAGTTCTCACCCTAAAATAGCCAACAGAGGACCCATGTCATTCAGTTTCTTTAGCACAGAAAGGTCCACTGTTGGATTTGTGCACCTTACAATGCTGAAGAATATGAATGACATGAGTCCCCAGTTGTGATCTCCACCTGATATATTTCCCACCTTGGATAACTACTCTATTGCTGGCCTTTCCAGCACTCCTCAATTCATCTGATGGAATTTATACAGTTGACACTTAATCAACTCGTAAAGAAATTGATTGTCACTATATAGAACATTTTAACTGAAATCCAAATAGAAATATAGTCATTGCATTTATTCTATTCACCTAATTGATGTAATTACATCAGAAAAAACTATCAGATTTGTTTGGTGATGTCTAGACTTTTATTAAAAAGATGTAAGAAGATTTATCAGTATTTATCTGAATGTGCGCATAAGAAAAATAAGACTATATTAATCTAGTATCCTGCTGCAAACATTTCAAATCAAAGATGAGGATACCCAATTACGATTCAAATCTACCCATGGGGGAGAGAAGAGAACACTTACCCAAATCTCTCTGTTTCTAAACTCCAAGAAACTCAGCACACTAGAGACAAGATGCTGGAAAATTCAGTAAAATTATATAGCTATTGGGCAAACTGAATAGTAAGAGCATGAAGTTAATAGATAAAAGGATAAACCTGGAGAGGTGTTCAGCACAATGCACATAGAGAGCTAAGTGCCCTGAACTCCCACTGAAGCTATAATTTCAAGGTGAACAACAACTGTCAGGCTTAGCTAGACATTCTTGTACTTGCTGAATAACAATGAAACTTTATAATGGAATGAAAAAAATACAGAAACATGTCTTACCTGAGCCTGACCCAGAAGAATAATCGTCATCGTCAATTGGATAGACGCCTGATGCTTCTTCAACAGAGCTGTTGTCGAGATACAGGTCTTTATCAGAGGTCAACTCTGCTCTCTGGAAAATAGGTAAGAAGGAACCATTAAAAAGGGGGCTATTTATATAATGCAATGTTTGCTTTACTTTTATTCTTATTTCCAAAGCTGATGTTCATACATCAATTGTATATATTTAAAGAATCGTAAACATATAGGACTGGAAGAGACCTCAATAGGACATCCAGTGAAGTCTCCTGTACTCAAGGCAAGGATTACGTAAATAACTAGATCACTCCTGGTGGGTATCTGTCTAACCTGCTCTTAAAAACCTCCAATGATGGAGATTCCATAATCTCCCTGGGTTAGAATTCTTTTCAATTAAAAAGAGGGTTAATATCACCAAAACGAATCACACCTAAAAATATTAAGTGTTGTTTATGGATAATTATATTTGTGGTTAGACAACAGCTATACCTACAGAATTATGTTCAGATCAGAGGCTCTCACTGCTGAAAACCACGTCTTTCTTAAATGCTGGCTCCGTAAGAATACACATTGTTTCAGTTTTCTTGATATCCCCCATCAACTTGTTCTATCTTTTCCAGTCCTAGAGATACTGTCTCCTCAAACTGTCTTCTCCTATCATAGAATCATAGCAGATTTGGGCTGGAAGAGACTTCAAGAGGTCATCCAGTCAAACCCCCTGCTCAAAGCAGGACCAATCCCAACTAAATCATTACAGCCAGGGCTTTGTCAAGACTAGACTTAAAAACCTCAAATGATAGAGAGTTCACCACTGCCCTAAGCAACCTATTCCAGTGCTTCACCATGCTCCTAGGCTACGTCTAGACTGGCATGATTTTCTGCAAATGCTTTTAACGGAAAAGTTTTTCCGTTAAAAGCATTTGCGGAAAAGAGCGTCTAGATTGGCACGGATGCTTTTCCACAAAAGCACTTTTTGCGGAAAAGCGTCCATGCCGATCTAGACACGGTTTAGCGCAAGAAAGCCCCGATCGTCATTTTAGCCATCGGGACTTTTTTGCGCAAAACAGTTTTCAGCTGTCTACACTAGACCTTCTGTGCAAAAGCATTTCTGGAAAAGGGCTTTTACCTGAACGGGAACGTCAAAGCATTTGCGCAAGAAGCACTGATTTCGGACAGTAGAACATCAGTGCTTTTGCGCAAAATCAAGCGGCCACTGGAGACAGCTGGCAAGTTTTTCCGCAAAAGCAATCGCTTTTGCGGAAAAACTTGCCAGTCTAGATGCAGCCCTAGTGAAATAGTTTTTCCTTATATCCAACCTCAATCTCCCCCACTGCAACTTGGGACTATTGCTTCTTGTTTTGTCATCTGTTACCACTGAGAACTAGGGATGTTAAATTGTGAGTAATTGACTAATCAAATAGTTGATGTATTTTGCATTGACTATTCAATTATTTGATAGGGCGCTTCCGCTTTTGAAGGGGTGTTGCTACACTTCAAAGGCAAAAGCTCCGTGTGGACCCCAGAGTCAGCTGGAGACCCCAGAGTCAGCTGCTTTGAAATGTCGCAGAGAGCCCAACATGAGGCTCCACAAGGCGTTTCCAGGCAGCAGCGCTGCACGGAGCCTGGGGTTAGCAGGCGAGTCCTCAGCTGATCCTGGGCTCCACGCGGTGCTGCCACTTTAAAATGCCACATTCAGCCCGGGGACATTTCAAAGTGGCAGCACCACGTGAAGCTCGGGGTCTGGCCCCAGACTCCATGAGGTGCTGCCGCTTTGAAGTATCCCCTCCTCTTCCCATCCCCCTTGCTGCCTCTTTCTGACAGAAGTAGTTGGGGGGGAGGGGAGGAAGCAAGTAGTAGAATAGTCAACTAGTCCTTCACATCCCTACAGAGAACAACTTAGCTCCATCCTCTTTGAAACTCACTTTAGGTCATCTTTTGGGAAACTATAAAGGGTACATTTGGCTTTTTTTTTTTTTTTTTTAAAGAAACTTTTGGCAACTGATTCTCCTTCCAGTCCGCCAAACACCTGTTCAGCACAGTTACCTACTTCGTTATAAATTATTCTTTAGTTTGACCTAAAATATCAAAATCTACCTCTTATAGGAAAGTGAAAAGACCACACTGACATGGTAAAGGACCCTTTTAGAGCAGGAATATATCAAAACCTTGGCCTCTGCCCCAAGTCTTTCCTGGATGAAAATGCACCTAAGATTTGAGAATGTAACCTAATCTAGCTCTTTTCAGGATTCTTTATACTGAAGGTTAAATTATTTAAGTAAATTGTCTATATCAGTGAACATACCCTCTAATGAATGCTCAAAGGCTCTATAGAGCTACCCGATACTTCTCCTGGAGGACCTAGGCTAGAAGTGTGCTATCTTCCTTCCCGGAGAAAAAGTAAGAGAGGAATAGTACTGGACTCAAAGAAGAACCATCAAATGCAACTTTTATCTGAATTTGCAAATTAATTTGTGCTTAAATATAGCTTCTAGAAGACCTATTTTCAGCAGCCCTTTTAATTAAATGCCATTTACTTAAAGCTGCAGCAGTCGAGTGTATAAGTTGGAGGAAACTATGTCTTACACAAGCCAAGAGATCCTTTGCTGCAATGTACCTCTTGGAAAATCAAGAGATTGTCATCATCCTAGATGACAAGGCATGTGGGGCATAAGAATCAGTTGAGGCTCCATCTCATATAAAGGAACGAGTCTGTCAAAAGACAAACATCCTGCTTCTGATAGGATTGCAGAAAAGGAACAGATCCATTTTCATATGCCTGCCTTTCTGATTTTTCAGCCATGCTGTAGTATGAAGTACAAAAAAACGCTTAGTGCAATGTAACGGATGACAACATTAGATTATGTGAGTAGCAGAATGGAGAATGGGGCTCAATGAATGGAAGGTTCAGCTCATCCAAGCTCCAAAGCATCTTGAAAAATGTCAGCATGTCCTGCCTGTTCTAGTTCCTGCTAAAGACAGCTTGAGTGATAATTCAGCTGTCCATAGGCAGAATGGTATTTTATACATGATGGCTTCTTCGATCTCAGAGGAAAGTGACAGCATATTTCAAGAAAAAGTTCTGCCAATGACTGACTATGCAACAACTAATCCTGCTGCAGAAAACATACAGGCTGCATGTACACTGGCATGATTTTGCGCAAATACTTTTAACGGAAAAGTTTTTCCATTAAAAGTATTTGTGCAAGAGAGCGTCTATACTGGCATGTGCCTTTGCGCAAAAAATTTGCTTTTGCGCAAAAGCATCCATACCAGTGTAGATTCTCTCTTGCGCCAGATAGCGCCGATGGCCATTTTAACCATCGGGCTTTCTTGTGCAAGAAATTGATGTTACCTGTCTACACTGGCCTCTTGTGCAAGGACACTTGCGCAAGAGAACTTATCCTTGAGCGGGAGCGTCAGAGTATTTGCGCAAGAAGCACTGATTTCATACAGGTGAACATCAGTGTTCTTGTGCAAATACTCGCGGTCAGTGTAGACAGGCGGCAAGATTTTGCGCAAAAGCAGCTACTTTTGCGCAAAATCTTGCCAATGTAGACACAGCCACAAAGTATTATAAGAAAAATCAGAAAGGTAAAAATCCAAATGTACATGAGAATACTTAAAGATTTACCTGTAACTTTATTACATGGCAAATGTTGCCATAGAAATTGGCTTCTTCTAAAAAATAACAGTGGAAAAACACAAACACAATATTAGAGAGGATGGGAATTAGTTTGTATAAAGTAAGAAACAACCCAAACTTATGCCCAGAACTCATAAAGTGTTGGGGAAAGCTTAATAATCTATTTTTTTCATTTTTATTCCCCACTTCATTTCCTGGTGCTGGCTAAAATAAGAAGCAAAAGTAGTTAAGTTCTGAAAAAAAAAATGTTCTAGTGCTTGTAACCTCACTAGAAACAGAAAATACTGAAAGTCAATCAAGAATGCTTACTCTGATGAGATTTCCTGCCCAATTTTGCAGACCCCATCCACTGTTATATAAAATATCCACACATTCACATGCTATGCCAACCACATTTTCTAATTACCAAAGGCTTCTCCCACCTCCAAGAATGGTATTTTTGTTGCCAGTATTTTGAGGACAAGGGCAGCTAGAAGCTATAGCACTATACAATCTGAATGAAAAAAACAAGATAGCATTCAGCAGCAATTCCAACTTCATTGGCATATTTTAGTACTAGCAGAATAAAATACAATCTAAGGCACCACATAAATACTCCCACACCAAGCCATAAAGAGAAAAGGACAATATTGGCCCAGGTAACCCCACTCCTTCAGCCATGCAGAATAAGCACCAACTGAGTTGAAAAAGGAGCAGCCACGATCAGAAGGCGGCACCTGGGAAAAAGGACAGACCTGCTGTCACAGCTCCTGACAAGAGCACTGGAAAAGCGTCCCTGAGTATTGTTCTCTGGGACTGAAAGTGAGGAGAGGAAAGCAAGGAAGTGACCCAGGGTTTGTAATTCAAAGGGCACCTTCAGGAGCCAGAGAGGCGGACTGGGTGGGGCAGGGCTCCCCTAACACTACTCCCATGACAGGAAAGTCTCAAATCGCCTGTGCACCTCACCATATAGTCCTGGTTCACTATTCAGATGACCAACCCACTGGGTGCAGGTACTAAGTACATGAATCTCTGGGCCACCTAACTAAGGACTCTACTGATATACAAGTATTTGTGGATGAGCACCAATAACTTCACAAGAAGTAAACTTCAAGTACCAGTCCAAAGGAAAAAAAACGGTTTCCCGTAATACCACTACACACTATATGAAGAACTGTAGGTTTCAGTGAGTCCCAACTATTTTACATCGAATTCTGTGATGATCAGGCCTGCAACTTATTTTAGATGAAGGGAGAGATTCTTGACCCTGCCATTGTATCCCATTCAAACAATTCTTCTCTGATATAAAACTTGGACAGACTCAGAGATATTTCTGTGGGTCCACCCATCCATCCTCACTGTCTGGGTGGAATAAACAGAGTTATTAAGGAATTAGTTGAAACCAACCCAGATCAAAAAGAGAGACCAGAGAGACACTGCAAGCTCAAATGACTCATGAATCAACTTAACAA